AATACTTCTTTTTAATATAATTAGATTTTTTTTATATATTAATATTTATTTAATATTTTATTTATTATTCAAAATATACAAATCTTTATATTCAAAAGTATATTTTTATAAATTAATTGTTTTATATTTTTAGTTAAAATTAATATAATCTCAAATATAAATATAAATAAGTTTAATTAATAACAAATTATTTAAGATTTAATTAATATTAATTAAAAAAAAGTTTTAATTAAATTATAAAAGATTTAAGAGATTTATTAATTTAGATTAAAAAAGGAAAGAATAAATGTATAAATTTGAATATTTAATTTCGAGAATATAATTTTAGAATTAAATAAAATAAAATTTATTTTTTGGAATTCTAATTTTATATTTTGAGAAATAATTGATTCTTTATATATAGTTTTAAAAATTATAAAGAATTCAATCTTTGAAATATAATTAATATATATTTTAATAAATCCATTAATTTGATTATTATATAAACATTTTAGATTATTAAAACAATTTATATTAAATAATTGAATTAAATAATTTAAATATAATAATAAATATATATATTTAATATTATTCTTTTTATAATAATTCTAAAATAATATTGATTTATAGCTTTTATATCTATTCAATATCAATCTTCACATTTTACCCTTTTTTCGATTCTTCACTATATTTATAAAATATTTTAATTATTCTAAATCTGTTTTATTATTGGTTTATTTATTAGATATAAATTTATTACTTTAATTTATAGAAATATCAATTTCGATAATTAATTAAAGAAATAAATCTATTCTGTTAATTAAAAATAAGAAGAATTTCTTTTTTTTTCTGCGATCTATTATTATTAGAGTCTATTTTTGATTACTGATTATCATTTGTTTCTATTAATCTTAATATATTAATTATTATTATATATATAATCTTATTATAAAAACTCTTCATAAAATATAGAAATCTTTATTCAAAAACTATATTTCGTTTACATCTTCCACAATTAATCGAAACTCTTTTTCTAAAAGTTTAGAATTCTTATAAAAAAACTTTTTGAAAATTATAAACTTATTCAATTAAAAAATCTATCTTTAATCTTTATATCATTTATAAATCAATATATCCAAAACTTTCTAATAATTCTTTTTTTTTTAATTCAAAAATATAATTTATTATATCTTTTATTTTTTTAAATTTAAAAAGAAATTTTTTTGAATTTATATTAAGAATATATAAAATAATCATTTATTCTTTTATTTTAATAAATTTCAAATTTTATAATTAAAATTCAATTATAGAAATTATTCCATTTATTTTTTAAATAAATATTATATATATAATATTATATAATTTAATAGTTTTTTGAATCAAAAGTTTTTTATTTTTTTTGATAGTTTTAATAACTAAAAGTATTCTCCCTTTTTTATTATTTGATTATATAATAAATAATTAAAAAATCTTATATTGAAATTGAAAAATATAAATTGAGGTAAAAGTGGTGTACGCACTGATATAGTACATGCACTGATAAACTACATTATATAAAGTCTTTCTTTTCTCTTCTTTATCTGAAGTACTATATTATAGTGACTTTTCTGTGGTATATGTGAAGGACTACTCTACGACCCTATCACCTTCTACTCGTTTACAATATTATTCATTAGTTATTTATTAAATACAAAAGAATTATATATAGCATTTTAGTATTTGAATTATATAGATTAATTTAGAGATTCAATATTAGTACAATAATTATTTCTATAATTAATGTTATTTTCAATAAAAAGATTTTATTAGTTTTATATATTAATTCAAAGTTGTTATTAATTCGAGAAGAATACGAAAGACGTGGTACCCACGTATTGTAGGCCCTGTATGTTTAATTGTATTCTATCTAAAGAGCTAGCTAAATGGGAAAGTAATAGGCCTTATATAGACACTATTGAAAGAGCTAGTCTCTTTCGCATTCGCTTAATCCCTTTAATATAGTAGCTATTATATTGAAGTCATTCCTTTAAAGTGAATACTCTTATTCATATAGTTGTTATATAATTTACTTACTAAACTAAATATAATTAATGAGAAGAGATTAATAATTTATATTATAGTATTATACTAATTCTATAAGAGAAAAGAGATTATTAAAGTTATATAGATTAATAGTTCAATTAATTCAGCTAATATAATAACAAAAAGATAACTATATTAAATTCTTATTGATCTAATTAATATAAATAAGATTAATATCAAAACAATGAAATAAATAGAAAAAAATTAAAAAAAGAAATTAATTTTATTAATAAAAGATTAGAGATTTTAATTAATAGATAAAGAATTTTTATAACTTTATAAATATTTTTTTAGCTATTATATTTGAAATTATATAAAGGAATCCTAAGTATATAAATAAGAATATTCACTTTAAAAAAATAACTTTAATATAATAATTATTATATTAAAGAAATTAAGCAAATATAAAAGAGATTAGTTTTTTTAATAATGCTTATATAAAATCTATTACTTTTTTATTTAATTAGCTTTTTAGATAGCATATAATTAGATATATAGAACCTATAATATATGAGTACCACATCTTTCATATCCTTCTCGAATCAATAATAACTTTATTAGATTTTGATAAAATTAATAAATTAATTTTCTAAATCTAATTCAAGATCTTTTCTATAAATTATAAAGTTAGGATATATGAATTATTTTATAAAAATACTAATTAATTATTTAATATTTAATCTTTTAATATTAATTATATTTTCTGTCCGTTTTTTTGAAAAAAAAATGAATCATTTATATATAATAAAAAAAGAAAATCGAATAATAAGAAATGTAATAAATAATTGATTAAATGTTAAATAAATATCGGAAAATAAGACTTTAAAAAAAATTAAATTAAATTTTGAGAAAAATAAATATCAAATTATATAAAACAAAATTAAAATTATAATACTTTATAGTTATAGTGTTACGGTTTTGAACTATAGAGCTCCGTTGAGCATGTGACAGTAGGCCTTCAGGCCTATAGTATACCGAGGGGAGCTTGTACATATATATAAATTGTATAATTTTTATAGTTTAGGAAAATTAATAAAAAGTCTTTATACTACATTACGTCAAGTTGATTCATTACTAGTATATACTCTAACATATAGAATATAAATAAAGCTTAATATGAATATATAAGATTTAATTAATATAATAAATAAGATCTACTTTATAAATTTCCAATTCCTTTTTTCATTTAATTGATCTATTTATTATTTAATTTTTTTCTTATATACTGATTTATGATATATGTAAAAATATATTAAAAACTATAATCTTATTTTTTTAAATTATTAAATTTAGTAAAAATAAACATAAATAGAATATTTCAATCATTAGGTAAAGAATTGAGTTGTTATTATTTAAAAACACATTCACAATTATAATTTAATCTAAATTTAATAATAGTAAAGAGAAAAGAATATTTTGAAATACAAATGTTGATTTGATTGATTATTGTAAATACTATTAATTACAGGTATAATTTTAAATTGTTTTCAAAGTATATGTCACGGTCATGGACTAAAGGGCTTCATTAGGCATGTGATAGTAAGCCCTCGGGCCTATCATATGCCAAAAGGAGCCCGCATATATATATAAATTATATAGTTTTCATAAATTTAGAAGAATTAATGAAAAGTCTTTGTGCTACATTTCACCTAGTTGATTTATTACTAGTATCTACTCTAACAGTATATACTAATAAGAATAGTATCAAATAAAACTTATTTGTATTATTATTTTGATTTCATCAATCTCTTTGAATACTAGAGCTCCCTCTAGTTCTTTTCAAAAATCAACAGATACATTATATTCTGATTAGGGATCTGAATGGCGATGGGAAGACAAACTATTTTACGGGTTTACTAGGATACTGAGGCGCTCGATATCCGGTTCACACCAGGTAGCGAGGAAGAGGAGATCGTTGTCACGTCTAGTTGCGATTTAGTAAAGGATGAAAATCGGGAATACTGCACCTAGGAAGAAGTTATCAAACTAAATTTATGATATGTATTCTTAGTAGAGAAATTAAAAGGTTAAATACAATATATATACAATGTTAAACTTAACTCTATCTACTATACGAAACTAGAAGTTGGTAAGTAACTTTGTGTAGTGTTCGTTATTAGACAGTTATCATACCCTTTCATATTGTGATACTTTTGAACCCACCTGACCCAAGGCATGTGACCCACCTGTAGCATATATATATATAGAAGGCAATAGGCCATTTTTAGAGGATCAGGATTGCTTTACCCTCCTTTGACTACCTTATTAAGTTGATACTATGAGTTAACTACGAAATGTGCTGTTCGTACGCCCCCTTACCCTTCTACTAGTGCTATCGGGTTGCACTTATTCTCACTCCGACACTCCCACAATATAACAATATAACAAAATTTCGTCAGCCAAGCTCGAGAATCAATTGACGATAAATATGCATAGAATAAACAAAAACTGATCTTCAACTTTCTCCGTGAGGTCTGCCATCGCGAATATCAAAGAAGACATAGAAACGAGATGTCTTTGAGTTGAGTTACTAAGATTGATACTGAACCTGTAAGATGAAGTGGTGCAGAGATCACATCGGAAATTATTAAACGCTGAACTAATGGGGCTAGAGGTATATCGTTACGTGTGGTCGCTTAGGGAGATCAACTCCTTCGGATGTATCTCCAGCTCCGCCGTCAATATAACCTCAAATTTCAAACCTCAATTCTTGTCCTCCAACATCTTTGAAGCTCACCTACTCTTCGGAACCGGAGGGGACTGCTGTAAACCAAAAAATGGCATACTGGTATTTGAATGTTGAGCTAATGCTAGCTTTCACCTGAAGATAACACGTCAAGGGATCGAGCACAAGTTGAGGAAATGATAAATTCATACGAAAGTAACTAATGCCGACCTATACATCTCCAATAGCAAAGAGCGTTCCCCTTGATCCAAGCCTAGTTGATAGACTGCGGAAAATGAGATTGCACCAGCGCATTTGCAACAGGCGTCAACGTAGTGAAAGGCTCTTTATCATGTAGTTGGAGAGAGTACAGCTTAATGAGAGATAGGCAGTGGATAAGATGAAACAAATAAAAGTCATGAAGATTCGCTTTTCCGATTTCGATCGCGTCCGCAAGGAAATCAACGCAATGGCTCTGATGTTGCCCGGCGTAGGCATACCCAAATCCGACCTCGTTTCCGTTTTCGGCCAACCCAGGTAACGCCATCGTCGGCTTGAAGCCCAGCTCGGCTGCGGACCGAACTTCCCGACCGGTTTCCATGAGGTAGTAGTTTAGGATACTAACGCGGTCAGCATCGCCATCCGCATCATCATAACGTCGTTTGATGGCCGCGGGAATATTCCAGCGGTCTACTGTATCGTTCTTGGGGTGTATGGTGAACTGGAAGAAGGCCTTACCCTTCTCGGTGGAAACTCTCAAGTGCTCCTTTCGCATGTTTCCGAAAACCTCGCGTTTCAATTGCTCTTGACGTGCCGCAACAGCATCAGCGGCGTCTCTCTTGTCTAGGCCTGCAGAATCAGCGGCAGAGCTCTCTTTGTACCTACTCAAATTAGTCTTGATCCTCATTAATCTTGTAATATTTCTTACCACGGAGCGGCCTCAGCTCTCTCGCTCAAACCAGCATCATCAGCGGCCACGCTCTCTTTGTACCACGGAGCGGCCTCAGCTCTCTTAGCTAGGCCGGCATCATCAGCGGCCACGCTCTCTTTGTACCTGCTCAAGTTAGTCTTGATCCTCATTAATCTTGTAATATTTCTTACCACGGAGCGGCCTCAGCTCTCTCGCTCAAACCAGCATCATCAGCGGCCACGCTCTCTTTGTACCACGGAGCGGCCTCAGCTCTCTTAGTCAGGCCAGCATCATCCGCAGCAGCACTCTCCTTGTACCACGGAGCGGCCTCAGCTCTCTTAGTCAGGCCAGCATCATCCGCAGCAGCACTCTCCTTGTACCACGGAGCGGCCTCAGCTCTCTTAGTCAGGCCAGCATCATCCGCAGCAGCACTCTCCTTGTACCACGGAGCGGCCTCAGCTCTCTTAGTCAGGCCAGCATCATCCGCAGCAGCACTCTCCTTGTACCATGGAGCGGCCTCAGCTCTCTTATCTAGTCCCGTAATATTGGTTATTAAAGGAAGGATTGAAGGTAGAGTAAGTAACTTACCACCGTGTGGAAGTGGGGCAGCGTAAGCCGCTGCTGCTACGAGAGCCACAATGGCAAGAGTAGAACGAACCATGATGGTTATGCTAGGGATGAGAGAGGATGAGAGAGAATAGTAGATTGAAGATGGGTGATTTAAGCTAAACAACGGATTTCTGCTTTGAGAGTGAAGCAATCAATGGGATGAGCTCGTGCTTTTATCCTCAGATCACTCGTTCGTTCATTTGACCCGATTGCCTTACATCATCAGGCTATTTTCTTTTGGCTTGATATCCTTATTCCGAGTCGGGATAGCCGAAGTTCCATACTTCGAACCGGACTTTCTTTGCTCGGATAAACATCATATTCATGTATTTCCAATACGCTTTTAGCCAAAGAGATTTAACCGTACAAAGCAAACCCTCAAGTCAGGTCTCTCCGTAGAGGGGGCCACAGCAGAGTAGCTCTGCTTTCACTGGAGGTTGATGACGAGCTTGGCTGGGGAAGACCGACGTCTCAGCAAATCTGTCCCTTCTTAGATTGCACCTTGCAAGCGATTTGAAGAAATGCCGTAAAATAACAGAGCTTTTTGAAAATATATTAAAATCATTGGCTGTCGGCATCATCTCCACAGTCGCCACTAGTGAATGACCTGTTCTTGCTCCAAATTCCAACTCTTACTCGCCTTTACGAAGCCAATGGTCTGAAAGAAACGAAGTGGGGTCTTTCGGCGTCTTTAGGGGGGTGTTCAAGCATTGTGCAAAGGCATCGTACTTCGTACATTACCTGATCATTGGCAGGATACGAGCCTGTTTGTGCTGCTGTGCCATGCGGGGTCCGTAAGCACCCAGACGGCCGCCGCAAGGGTTTAATAAGGAACCCCCAATCGGATCATTAGAAAACGTCTACCTTCCCCGCCCAAGCCTTGTCAAGCATATTCAAGCTTTTTCCGTTGTCGAAGGGGCACCTGCAGTCAAGTGGGATACTAATATGACGTGGATCTGCACCAACGTCCATCCCACCAACGATAATAATCTGACGACTTTCCCCCTCTGGCGTGCAGTAACTCTCATTCTTAGGGCAAAGTACCGGTTACCGGCTATGCACGCACTCTACTCTGTATGTGTGGAGGTGACATTCTGAGTAATGGAAAAAGGTTTAAGCGAAAGGTTTAAGCGAAAGGTTTAAGCGCTATCTTATCAACCTCAAAGGCTAAACCCACCAAACGGAGACCCCGTAGCCCTTGCAAACATGTCATGCTAATCGGAAGTTTACCTGAATAACTCAAAGTACCGAGAGATGGGATATTTCCTTCCTCATTCCGACCCCGCCACAAAATTCCCGATATATATCTGACGTATTATTTCAGAAGTAAGCATGTAGATCAAGAGGGGAGTTCCTTTTAACCAGCGTTGTCGCCAGAATACTACCAATTATCATCTATCAACCATCATCGTCCCGCTATGATCAATGGATCTCTTTCGAAGAAACACGAGCAGGGAGCAGCACGGAGCTACTAGGGAAGTCCGAATTCGTCGCTTTTTGGTCGCGTCCATCTTCGTTAGCCTCTTGCTCATCGTATTCGTCCTTCTCCTCAATCCTCGTTCTCAGCCCTTCTCGCTAAGGTCATCCTCTGCCCATGACCCTCTCCCGACCCTCCCTCGCTTCTTCCAGAACTATCCTACCCTCGAATCCTATGGTCCTATTGCCGATTCCCATTGGGAGGCTCTTCTCCTTTCTCCCAATGGTGGCTACATAAAGGTCCAGCGCAACGAAACCTTTGTTGAGAGCTGGGGCATAAGCATGTTTCACGCCCTCCACTGCCTTCGCATGCTTAGAGACGCACTTGCACCCACTACGTCTGAGCACTCTGAGCACTCTAACCACTTTCGCCCAACTCACCTGACTCACTGCTTCACCTACTTGGCGCAATCACTACTCTGCGCTGCTGACGACACTATCGAGGCTCCTATTCTCGAATATAACCGTCATAATGAAATTACAGGCTTCCGTGTGGACGGGATCGGAGTGCAGCACAAGCAGTGTAGGGACCCAGCACTGCTCTACGCTGTGGCTAGCAAGACAGAGCAGAGCCCTTTGACTCGTGATTGGCCCGGACTGCAAGGAGCAAAGGAGTTGATATGGGATTCAAGCGTATGGGAAAATGGCAAGTGTGTTGGAGACATATTTTGACAGCTGAGTTGCTCAATGTACATTCTTATGATAGGAATTGCAATTTGAATCGAAATGATATAATCCCTTTATGATTCAAAATGAACTCCCTTCTTTTGAATATGTGAGACATCGTGCCATTGATCTAATATTATTAAATTCAATACAAATTCCAATTTTTGAGATATCTTAAAACAAATTCTATTAATCGATTCCCCAAGCTTTAATTAATCATAAATTATGTTTCTTTTCATTTTGTCAATTTCTTGAAGGTTGTGTACTGAATTGAATAGTTCTCGAATACTATACACACCACTAAATTCTAAATATGGCTTTAGCTCAGGCAAAAATCCATTTTTGGGGTTTTGACCAAATGCGCGTTATCGGCCTCGATAGTTATTCAATCATCATGATAGTTACTTATATTAACGTAGTTTAACACCGAGTGGCCCATATTATCAAATAGCCCACTTTCACCTCAATTTACACTTTCAAACTTATATTATTCAATAATAATTGAATCAATTAATTGAAACTATTAAGAATCTAATAATCTAGGATTTATTATATTATTTTGATAGATTCTTATATTATATTTTGTTTTTCTATATTCACTATAATATTAATTAAAAGATATTTCCTTATTAGAATTCCTTTCTTTTTGATATTTATTATATTGAATCTAAATATTAATCTTTTACTAAAATAATATATCAAAAGTTTTTTATTTAATAAATACTTTTTTTTAATATAATTAAGTTTTTTTTTTATATCAATATTTATTTAATATTTCATTTGTTATTTAAAGTATATAATTCTTTATATTTAAAAATATATTCTTATAAACTAATCTTTTTATATCTTTAATTAAAATTAATATAATTCGAATATAGATATAAAAGAATTTGATTAATAATAAGTTATTCAAGATTTAATTAATATTGATTAAAAAAGAGCTTCAATTGAATTACAAAGAGTTTAAGAAATTTATTAATTTAAATTAAAAAAAAAGCGAATAGATATATAAATTCGAATATCTAATTTTGAGAATATAGTTTCAGAATTAAATAAAATTAAATTTGTTTTTTGAAATTTTGCTTTTATATTTTAAGAAGTAATAGATTCTTAATATACAATTTTGAAAACTATAAAGAATTCAATTTTCAAAATATAATTAATATATACCTTAATAAATTTATTGATTTGAATATTATATAAATATTTCAAATTATTAAAATAATTAATATCAAATAATTAAATTAAATAATTTAAATATAATAATAAATTTAAATATATAATATTATTCTTTTTATAATATATTTAAAAAACTATTAATTTATAGTTTTTATATTTATTTAATATCAATATTCGATATTTATTCTTTTTTCAATTTTTAATATACTTATCGAAATATTTCAACCATTCTAAATCTATTTTATTATTTATCCATCTATTAAATATAAATTTAATAATTTATTCCATAAAAAAACTAATTTCGATATATCAATTAGAAAGATAAATCTATCCTTGAATTACTAAAAATAAAGGAATAGTTTTATTCTTTATATTTCCATATATTATTATTATAATCTATTCTCGATTATCTAATTATACTAATTTACTTTTATTATATCTTTTAGTATTAATAACAATTATTACTATATATATAATTCCTATTATAAAGCTTATTTCATTGAAATTATAAAAATCGTTATTCAAAATACTATATTTCGCTTGTATATTTGTAATCAATTAAAACTATTTTTCAATAAATTTAGAATCTTTATAAAAAGCTTTTTGAAGGTTATAAATATAATTAAAACATATCTTTAATTCAATTCAATATTTTATAAATTAATATATCTAAAACTTTTCAATATATTTTGTATCCCTTAATTCAAAAATATAATTTATTATATTTTTTATATTCTTTAATTTAAATAGGAATCTTTTTGAATTTATATTGAATATATATTAAATAATCACTTTTTCTTTTAATTCTATAATTTTATAATTATTGATTTGAGTTTTTATACAAAAAAATAAACCTTTTATTCTATATTGAAAAGTTATATAAAGAATATTATAAAGTATAATAGCTTTTCAAATATTTAGTTTTTTATTTTTATAAATAACTTTGATAATAAGAAGTATATAAGTTTTTTGATTATTCGAATTTATTATGGGTTGTTAATAAAATGTATATTGAAAGAGAAAGATATAAATTGAGATGAAAGTGGGCTACTCGATGATATGGGTCACTCGGTGTTAAACTACATTAATATTATTAATTCATTTTCTAATTATAATCTGTATTCTACCTTGAGGAAATTCATCACCAATTCTACCTTGGAGAAAGAGAAGAAAGTAGAATTGAGATCATATGCGACCGGAAAAGTTAGTGGTGTAGATTATTGATTTTGAAACCTTTGAGTTTTAGGATTCTATAAAATTCATTTTACGACGGACGCCTACTGTTGCTACCTTAGAGATGAGAAGTCCTACGAGGAGACAGAAGGCGAGAAAGAGGAATGCACTTATGTTGAAAAACCAGAGGCTCTTTTTCATTGACTTTCTTAGGATTTGTGCTATGAAGTTTTCGGTCCTCAGTGCACATCTCTCTCAAAATCAAACTTTCTCTTTCTTATGCTCTAATCCTGCTTCACGACAATAATGTCTGCGTTCAAACTCACCCCGCTCCCAGTCGCAATACTCTCCAGCGCATCTCTTTTCAAAAAAATCATCTCGCAGTGTGCGATATATTCATCTGTATCAAATCGATGTTCGATCTGCTTTGCCGCACCCTCCATGGCGTGGACCATCCGATACATCTTTCGCCAATAATAGCTGCAATGCAAGACATGCCAGCGGTGAGTGGTAAAAAAGTAGTCTTGAGAGTCCTTCGCCGGTAGCAGAGCTATCTCCTCCGTCGAGATATTGGTACGGCCGAATTCGTCGGCGTAATAAGTCCAGGCGCGGCCCGCACCAGGCCCAGTAGCATCAAATTGCGCTGTCAGCTCCTCGTCGCGGCAATGCGGTGGTAGCCAAGCAGCTGCAATTGTATCGTAGCGGCAGGATCGAGCCATGGCTTCGATCAGAGAAGATCCGCAAGAGCAAGAGGATAGGTCCTCAACTGGCATTCCCAAAGCTACTCGTATCCGGCCACCCAAGGGTTTCAAAAGGTGATAGAGACCATTGAAGGCGAGACCAATGGTTAGGATATACAGTGATAATACCCCAATGCGTCTCAGTGACTTTAAGCATGGTGCTTTGCGATAATTTCGCCCTTGAGGGGGGCTAGGCTTGGAGCGCGAAGATAGCTTTGGCCCCGTGACAGGGGGAGCTTGATCGAAGCTCTCTCTGCCGGCAAGGAGCGATTTGCTAATGTCCTCCTCTTCATCACGAGTCTTGCGTCCTTTGAATGGAGAGGAAGAAAATGAGAAAGGCAGAGCTCCAGATGGCATTATGATAAAATTTTGGTCGTCGACTTCTGTCATGAAACTGCCAGTGGAGATGTTTTGCAGGCAAGCAGAAGGGACGAACAAAATGATTGCGTGAAAAATATAGAACGTGTGAAGAAAGGCAGAGTCTAGAGAGGGAAAGAGGTCATGTTGCTATCTGGTCAGATTTGCTTTGAAGATTTCTCGAGATGAGAGAGAAAGACTCCTCGTCCCTCGGTTCTTCTGAAAAGCCTCTCGGAACACTCGAATAGGACATTGTGGGTTCTTGGCGTTTCACGCGGCACCAAGTTTTTCCGAAAACCATGGCCGAGCACTCCGGTACGTTACGTTGTTGTCTTGTTTCCGGATCGCCGATTTGTATCTACAGAGGCGTGTGGATCGCGAGAGGGTTATCGTTATTCTCGCTTGTACATTGGTACTCGACGAAACAAAGGTTAAATCCCTTCGAAGATATTCTACGAGCAGGGATGTTTTTATGAAATCAGATTCCAGAGATTGAAAAATACTATTTTTCTATTGGTAGTTTGCGAATAGGTGGGGGGTGTTTGTAATAACCTTTATTACGCTGGCGACGAAGTAATATCAATATCCCGGATCAGAATAATGGCAACCTCGGGTTCGTATGGATAAACTGTTCAGAGTTGAGTTAAGCTTCTGACGGGCAAGCCGAGCAAGGGGAAGAAGGGTGGGGACGCCTTGGCGATGCTGATCCTTGCGACACTGCGTTGCATCTGCATGTGGCCAATCAGTGTTTAGTTGATTCGGAAAATGGTAGTATCTCATACCATATTCTACATACTCATGGTACGAGTGATAATAAACCCACTTTCTGAACTCGGGAGAAAGCTCTTACGAAGAGAGGGGTGACGGCCGACATGAACAAGATCACTGTATATTGTCAGATCGATTCAGTGTGCAGCCTTTCCCCAGTTCTCCTGTACGAAATTGATATCCTCACATCTTCACTTGTTTCCACTGCCGCCTACCATTCTTATTCTTACTTCGTGTCTTAGGCTAGCAAGCACAGAAACAAACACATCTACACACAGAGAAGCACCCGCTCAAACACACAGAGATTTTCAATGGACAAAGAAAGAGATCAGATATATGAGCCTCTTTCTCATGATGATAGCCATTCCTCTGGTTCCGCAGATGTGGATGAAAATCAGTCTCACAAGTCTCATCTTTTTCTTCGTCGACGTAGCCAGCGGTCACTCCAATGGCTGCCAAGGCTCATTCGACTAATTGAGATCTTCATTGTGATGGGTTCTCTTGCCTTTGGATCTTACGGCTTCATCTGGTTCGACAAGTCATCTTCGGACCAAGTTTGCCCCATAGAACCCTTTTTCAGACCTGGTACGTGCCTGTTTATAAGTTCGAACAAAGACTTGAGACTAATGTGTCATTCTAGAGTGGGATCATATCAAAGACAGTGGTTTGACCTGGACTGCGCATCTCACTGGGTCTGAATCAGGCGTTTTTATGGGGGAACCATCAATGGAACGTAAAGCTGCGTGGGAAAAGCTATTGAAAGGTTGGTCAATTCTATTGAAAGGAGATCTTTCTTTTTACCACTTCCATGGCAACTGATGGAAGTTATACAGACCGTGGCGTTACATTGAGTGCAGCGGAACTGGAAGTTTTGAATACAAAGGGAGAAATACCTAGCCTGGCAGGTGAAACGACTGGTTCTGGCACATATATTGGATATCAATTGATGTCAGGCATGGACTATCAGCTGCATTGCCTTGTAAGTGAATTTAATATAGCCGCTTTTAATCTCGTAGTCATTCTACTGCGACAGAAAAAGATTTTCCTTGTGGCCAAAAGTTCATAATACTCACAAGAGAGTAAATCCGTGAACTATAATGCTAACATCATTTACAGAGTCTTATCCGACAATGGAGTTACTGGGATCACTATCAGACGGCAATGACTGAGCTTCCAGAGGTTTTCATGAGCGCTCCCGAAGACGCTCATGCGCTAGTCGGTATTTCTTCACATTCCTATACATCCAATTTTTCCGAGGTACAAGAATTCTAATTCGGAGTGGTAGATTTTTGCCTAGAATCCCTCAGGTTGCAGGTTCTTTGCTCATCTAACCAGATGCGATTTCTCGTGCCTAATGCCACCTCGACCACCGGATATAGGGGTCCAACTGTGCTGCAGAAGGAGGAAGCACGATGGCAATGTGCAAGGAATATGTGATTCTCAGATACCTCATACTTCTCACGAAGTTGCTTATGTGTTGCTTAGGGTCGAGATCTGGGAAGCAGGGAGGCTAGCTAACTGATGAAATAACTACATCTTTGAATTGATCCTTGGCCACCTTTGCTGTGTTAAAAGATGCATTGTCCTAAATCTGATATATACCCATTCATAAACCAGAACAGACCTCCTCTTACCCTGCTCTACACTGACCACGCTACACTTACTGTCTCAATTCCCTCCTTAAAAACACCACCCCACTTTCGAACCATGTGCTCCTTCTTCACCGCCGGCGCAAAGACCTCGAACTGGCTGTGCCAGACGGACCGAGCCGAGTCGATCACGATTATTTCCCCGCTTTTAAATGCAGCAAGAACGTTGTGGTTGAGGCATATCAATCCCGGTACAGGGAGGTGATGTTATGATAAATAGACGTAGATCACAGTACAGCATAGGTAGGATATATCACGCCAAGTCACGTCACTGTAAAAAAAAAAGGAACACTCACAGCCAATCATTCACGTGTAGGGGTGGTAGGAGCATAGGATAAGGGAGATACGGATCTCAGCACAGTATAAGGAGAGGTTGGGCAGGCAAATGCACCACCCTTGCTATTAATTAGCCCTGAATCCTACACCTTACCTGATATAGGTCACCACCCTTGCTATTAATTAGCCTGAATCCTACACCTTACCTGACGTAGGTCTAATGATAACGCAAAATTTATCAGTCCATACAAGCTAAAGCGGAGGAAGGGATCTTCAACCAACTTGCACCAGCATCGTACTCCTAATAACGCACGCAGAAGAGGATCTAATTCTCACAAAATAGCAAGAGATAGATAGATAGAATCAGTATCCCATATATATGTAGCCAAAATAGATAGTCGCTGCTGTATAAATTAATAGACCTTTACATTTATGTTACCATTAAGTGATTCCGAAGAGATTGATATGACCTCGAGACCAGGGCAGGGACGGCAAGAGCGAGCTTCAAAAGCCTGTGAAGAATGCAGGAGACGGAAACTACGCTGCGATGGTCGAGAACCACAGTGTGGAGTTTGTCGTGATGCTGGTGCAACGTGTGAATTCAATGCTGGTCGTGCCCTTCGGGGACCAAAAAAGGGTTACTTCAAGGAGCTGAAGGATAGAATTGGTTGGTACATGATCTTTTAATCCTTTGTCATCCTCAAATCCTGGAGGCTCCGTTTTGGAGCGTGACTAACCATATGATCTGTTGTAGTAACATTGGAGCGTCAGCTTTCTTTACAGCAACAAACCATCGAAGGATACGGCCTACCTACTTCCATTTTAGATCACCAAGAAGAACCAGCGATTTCTGGAGTTGTCAGCCCAAAGTCGACGTCAGAAAGTGAACAGCAGCGAGCTGGATCGACTCTCGAAGACTTTAGCGTATCCACTTCCGTCCCAGATCACCTAGAAGGACCAGAGTTTTCTGGAGTTTTCAGCCCATGTTCGTTGACCGTAGGAAGTGAGCATTGTATAGGGCAAAGAAATTCCATGTCAAATTCTTCGAATGACATAAGCTCAGTACTCAAACTATCAGTAATTACCAACAACACCATCCCTGCATGGATGCACGACGAATTGTAGGTTGCTGGTTTTAAGAAGCCATAGAGGAAGAAAGATAGATACTAAAGAATTTCCAGAGACCAACTATACTTTGATCGAGTCCACAAATTTATACCTCTACTTCATCAGCGCCAGTACTTGTCCTGGTCTAAAAAAAAGACTGAGAAGACATCACGTCTATGCTTGCAGAGTGCGATGTGGACACTGGCTACTTCTGTCTCAGTTCAGTTTCAGCATCTACAAAAACAACTCTTTCGAGACACGAAGTCAATGCTAGAGTCTTTGAGTACCGCCAATGAAGATCACTCACCCGCCGATACCGAACATGTACAGGCATTGGTCTTAGTCGCAATCTATGAGTCAATGAGAGCTCCCAAGCAGCAGGCATGGATCACCGCTGGACAAGCCTTTCGTCTGGTGCAGTTGATGAAATTCCATGAGATTGATTGCCCGAGCGTATATGCCACTACTAAACCTACAAAGTCTTTTCTCGAGACCGAGGAACAACGCCGAGTCTTTTGGATGTCTTACTTCCTTGATACTCTCCTCACGATGCTGAATTGTTTGCCTTTGACAATGAATGAACACGTGGTATGGAATCACCATCTTTTTCGATTGAGATAAAATGAAGAGTATGAGTTGCTGATCAATTTTGTATTCTATATAGGTATTTATACGTCTTCCAGCGCCTGAGGAGGAATTTCAGTGCAGCCAGAACGTGCTAGGGAAATTTCTTTCCGAAACGATGGTTGAGCAAAGCCCACATACACAATCAAGCTTTATTCAATGCGTGATCTTTGCAAGTATATGTGGGCGGAGCTTATTCTATGGCCAGCAGTGCAACCTTTCCATGTTTTACGGAAGCGCGCCCTTAGACTACTCAATCCAGTTTCAGTGGCTGGACGACATGGTGACAACTAGGCTCCAGATTCTGTCACAGTACAATCCGGGCCCAACCGAAACGCATGACCCCATGCTCTTGTTCACAAGAATAATTGGCCAGACAGCCGTTATGGCTCTGTGCAAGGGAATGGAATTAAAGTTGGCTGCTGACTCCGATGGAGGGGCATCTGTGGTGGCATACCAGTTGCGAGCACTGACTGCAGCAGCTCAGATCGCCAAACTCGCAAAAGCGCTGACCGAGTTTCCTATTTTCAAGGCGAGCCTCGGTCATTTCTTTTACAGTACAACTTGTACAAGCTTACTAATATTTTTTCAAGATCCACCCACTGATGCCGGTCACACTCGGCTTTTGCACTGGGCATATCTACGAGCATCGATTATACCACGAGTCCTTTAATTCCCACCTCCAAGAACTTTTAGACGTTCTCCGCCAATTGAAGAACGTCAGCAACCCAAGTCAGAGTTATGTAGACTTGTTAGAGCTGTCAGAGATCGTTGGGACACAGGCCCTACCTTAATGTGTAGATTAACTTTCGTTCTTTTTTGCAGATCAGACCCAATACAATTCCAGTATGGAAAGAGACCAGAGAATAACACAATTCTGATTCACTATAATATCAATGAGTCTCCCGAATTTCGTCATAAAACTGTTATTCTTTATTCAAGATGAGACGATCCCGTGTTTGAATAATACCTGCAGCTCAGGGTAACAAATGTCAGTCAAATGCCCAGCTGACTTCTTGTGATGTTTCTCACCTCTCACTTCTTGCCAAGCCCATAAGTAGTTCTTCTCCGCTCTTCCATATGTTCCTCAACGGTGGGTGCCTCTTCATCCTCTCCAGGCTGTCCAATCTTATCGAGTCGCCGCAATTTGTAATCCAAATTTCCATCAACGAAAAACACTACGCTATACCGATCCGTTGGGGCCTTATTCAACACACGGTGCAGACTGCTTTTGTACAGATTTCCAGTCACTCTGCTTATCATATCTCCCATGTTGACAACGTAAGCTTTTTCATTGGGAGGCACTCCAATCCATTCTCCAGTCTCACGGTCTTGTACTTCCAGACCTGGATTTTCATCTTGTAACAGAAGGGTAATAAAACCAAAGTCAGTGTGTGCACTACTTCCCAATTGTCGTCGCTCGCCACCAACCTGCTTTGGGGTCGGGGGATAGTGCAAGAGACGGAGTGGGCATGCAGGATCGTTCTCCATGAGCTCGTCAAACACATGCGGTCCGTAGGGCAATGTGGCAGCGATTAGATCCACAACCACCCTTGAGAACCGCAGCATGACGTCATTGTATTCTTCGACCACTTTCTGGAAGTCTTTGTATGGCAGGACTTCGGTTGGGGGCCAGATATTCCGACCCATGAAAAAGCGTCGCTGCACGACACGGGGATCGTCGAGAGGAATGTCGGTCCCCACGATATAGCCTTCCTTGAGGTCCGGCAAGACATCTTTCTCGTAGGACTGCGAAGCCATGACGTCGTAGCCCCTGAAACCAATATTTTTCCTGACATCAAGAGGAAGTTTGACGTCCATCGGAAGGGCAAAGAACTTGGCAGCAGCGTTATAGAGATTCTTTTGAAGTGTAGCAGGGACGCCATGTCCAACTAACTGGAAGAATCCCGTTGAAGTGCAGGCTCGTCGTACATCATCAAGAACCTGTTGGCCCGCAGTGCTGTTGGGATCTTGTAGGTAAGGTGTGATATCCACCAAGGGAAGATAAAAAGACGACTTTGTCGTGGCAGAAGGCATATTGCTTCAAACGGCAGTGTCAATAGATGAGAAGTTTCTGGAATCGAGAGATTCTGGATTTTAAAAAATCGTGAAGCCGTCATGAGGGGGTTATCTGGCGTCCGACACCTGCAGACATACCTTCAGCTATAGTTTAAGAACCAGTGCGCCTGATTAGATATTCCTTTGCGTTTACATCTCAGAACGGAAATCCTTCCAAAATAGTCTGCGTGGTATGCTGCGGGAAAAAGAAAAGCTCCTGGAATATTGGACGGAATATCCCTCGGGAAAACTATGTTGAAAATCGCTATTTTAACGGATATTATTGTAGAACTTGGTTATACCGAAATAAAAAATCTGACCAATCAAATCCGGTATAAAGAAAAACCCAGTATAAAAAATGGTGGTTCAAGCGCTGTAGCCAATATTTATGTCTGATTCTAGCTTCAAACCCACTGGTGATACTATGATAGGTCCGGATCGGAGAGGTCGTAGGAATGCCATTGAAAAAATGTATTATTACGTTGCATCACTATTTCAAGGGTACCAAAGCATTGTTCTTGTAGGTCAGGTATTTCTTATCTGCAGGGTTCTTACGTGGAGGTGTAACTGTAAACGGAATTTCATTCGGAACGCCTGGGTAGCAATTGGTCAAGTCAACGACTACTGTAAAGATAGATAGGTTGCTGACTTTAGTGCCATCTCCCAATGACCTTCAGCATATTTGCTAACTTATCGTCGTTTAATATGCACGGCATTTCACAGATTTTTGCTTAATGGTCATGTAGGTAGTAGCAACCAATTTTGTACATCTGTTGCACTATACTATGTTTAGACTTTCGGACCGATATCTCGGGGATTGTTAAATACTAAGCTAGTCGATACAAAGTTCAGAAGGACCTATGTGAATCTAATCTTCTGATTACTACAATATTCCCATCATTGCACTCCATTATGCATCCCAAAATCCAGGAAATAGAAGACCGGACCCTCCATCTGCCGCGAATTCTGTGTCTTCATGGTGGAGGTACCAACGCCAGAATTTTTCGAGCCCAATGTCGAGGGCTCATTGCTCAGCTCAAGTCTGAATTTCGGTTTGTCTTCGCAGAAAGCCCCTTTATCTCCGAGGCTGGCCCCGAAGTTACAACGGTGTTCGGTCAATGGGGGCCTTTCAAACGCTGGTTTCGCTGGCGACCAGAGCATCCAGAGATCGCTCATGCGGACGCGGTGAAAGCAATTGATCGAAGTTTAGAAGAGGCTAGGCGTCAAGACACTCAACGGGGGGCGACGGGAGAATGGGTGGCGATCCTTGGCTTCAGTCAGGGAGCCAAACTGTGTGCAAGCCTTCTCTATCGCCAACAAGTCCTCAAAGAGGAGAAAAGGATAGGCAGAGGAGTTTCAGGATCGGATTATCGTTTTGGAGTCTTGATCGCTGGGCGAGCGCCTCTGATCTCGCTGCACGCCGAACCGGATATACATCTGAATCTTGGCTTCAGTACATTGCCGGATGCCTCACAGATCACAGACGTCAACTGGCGCAGCTGGTTAACACCTCAAAGCGACGGCGGAGCCGTCTTACGTATCCCGACCCTTCATGTGCATGGTATGCAGGACCCGGGATTACCCTTACACTGTCAGCTTTTCGAAGAGTTCTGCGAGCCAGGCAGTAGGAGACTGGTGCAATGGGGTGGTGATCATCGGATGCCTCTGAGATCCAATGACCTTTCGCCCGTTGTGCGTCATATCCGTGAGCTGGCAAAAAATAGATAGATAGAGCCGGGTATACACTGCAGGAATAGATTATGCTAGATAAGGAATTAACAAGCTTTCAAGGCTCAATCTGTAGTACTTTCCACATTAGTTTTCCTGCTGTGAAATAGCTGCTGAGAGATACGATTTACAATCCTACCCAAATCACGGATAACCAAAATGGGAGGTTGGGAGAGCGCCCACTGAGATCACGGATAAACTAAAACGGGCTGCGGAAAATCGTTCATTCCTCCGCTCGTGAAATTCCCTGCTACCAGTTACCCAGGTAGCATCAGTACAATAATTTTCAGTCAGTCCATCAGAAAGCCACCAACAATCAGTCTCCTATTCTGTGGCAAGGGATATTCCGAAGTCAAGGTGGCGGCACAAAAGCTTGCACTTCGGGCGAAATGAATGGCCCGTCACCGTATTACCTCATAAGAACTCCCCATACATCACGGCCGTTGAAGTAAGTTAAGTGAGTCTACGAATCGTATCTCCAACTGCACGTTGCCGACGAATTTCAACAATCATCCCCTCTGTGTTAGTCACGTGCTCTATCCAAATTGGCCGACAATGACCACCATGATCGATCCTAAGTCAGGGCGTGGAGCTGACCCTGTAATTTTTTTGTTCGGGCCTCAAGCGTTGAAATTCGATGCCGAGTCTTTCAAAAAACTTTGTATTCGGGAGAGGCCCCATTATCAATGGGTTTTGGAGACAGTAACTTCGCTCTCCTCTGAATGGAACGATATCTCCAGGACCAACCCCAATTTGCAACATTACAATGGCATGGAAAAGCTAGAGCAATTGAAGTCATGGGTATCCAGAGGCGAAATCTGGAATTATCACTCTTCCTTTCTCTTGCCGAACATCCTTCTCTCCCCCTTGGTTGTCATCACGCAATTGATTCAATATTGGGACTTCCTAATCGCTGCTTTGCCAGACTTGAAGGATGCTGATGAGTTACCCACGTCAATCACGACAAATGCGGAAACGCTGGGCCTATGTACTGGCATGCTGAGCGCCTTTGCCGTGGCTTGCTCTTCGAGCATCAAGGAGCTCCAACAGTATGGCGCGGTGGCTGTGAGGCTGGCAATGCTTACAGGCGCCTTTGTAGATACAAAAGAAGAATTAGTTGGACTTGGAGAGACTGCAGTATCATTCTCGCTGTCTTTGAACCTCACGGATTCAGGCACTGTCTTGAAAGAAGCGTTGCGCCAATTTCCCGAAGTAATTGACCTCCAAGCTGCAGAATTTCTGCTATTTGAGCGATGAGCTGACAGACATCATAGGCCTATATTTCTCTTCTGACCGATGAGAAACGGATGACAATAACTACCTCGGAACAAACAGCTTCAAGTCTTATCCCGCAGTTAAAACTGGCTGGTATCCAAGCTACAAAACTGGCACTTCGCGGAAGATTTCATTGGGAAAAACACCAAGAAGATATTGAATCTCTCATTCAGAGCTGTACCCCGAAATTTCAATTGCCTGATGCTTCCAAGATGGCACTTCCTAGCCGGTCCAATACCGGTGGAAAATACCTTACCGCCGGCAAGCTCCATGAGATAGCGTTACGATCAATCCTCGTGAAACAGTCTCAATGGTATAAGACATTCAGCGTCGTTTATTCGTCTCACTTGCTCTTAAGCAATGCTTCCTGCATCTGTTTTGGAACAGAGAGCTGCGTACCTCCCACGATTGCGCGACAACTTGGTTCCCGGTTAATCCAAGTTGGAGGCATTGACTTATCGACCTCGCAGCTACCTGGAGAGCTCCTGGGTACGCACCGGACGAATAATTTTGCAAATGTACCAGACGAGCGGGTTGCGGTGATTGGCATGGCATGTCAACTACCAGGTGCAGAAGATCTTGAAGAGTACTGGAAGATTTTGAGCAGTGGAAAATCTCAACATACAGAGATTCCGCAAGAACGATTTAGCATAGAAACAGCCTGGAGGGAAGCCGATTCAAAACGTAAGTGGTTCGGCAACTTTGTCGAGAATTACAATACATTCGACCACAAATTTTTCAAGAAGAGCCCCCGCGAGATGGCATCCACAGATCCTCAACATCGCTTGATGTTGCAGATTGCCTACCAGACAGTCGAGCAGTCTGGATACTTTGGAAGCCTTAATGCTGATAAGCATATTGGATGCTTTCTCGGAGTCGGCAATGTTGATTATGAAGAAAATGTCGCTTGCTATCCTGCAACTGCGTATTCAGCCACCGGCAATTTGAAGAGTTTTGTGGCAGGCAAAATCAGCCATTATTTCGGCTGGACTGGCCCAAGTTTGACAATTGATACAGCTTGCTCTTCATCTAGTGTAGCGATTCACTATGCATGCCGCTCTATTCTTAGTGGCGAATGTAACTCTGCACTTGCGGGAGGTATCAATATTATCACAAGCCCCAATTGGTATCACAACCTTTCTGGAGCATCTTTCTTAAGCCCCACCGGACAATGTAAGCCGTTTGATGCCAAAGGCGATGGATATTGCAGAGGCGAAGGTGTCGGCGCTGTCTTGCTCAAGAAGCTTTCCTCTGCTATTGCTGATGGCGACCAGGTGCTTGGGGTAATCTCCAGCACTGGAGTTTATCAAAATGGAAACGACACTGCAATCACAGTTCCCATTTCGGATTCGTTATCTGATCTATTCTTACATGTTGTACAGAAAGCCAAGCTTGAGCCCAAGGATATTTCAGTCGTCGAGGCTCATGGGACTGGGACGCCAGTTGGTGACCCGGCAGAATATAAGGGTATCCAAAGGGTCTTTGGTGGGCCTGGCAGTTCTCACAAGGTCTCCTTGACTTCTGTAAAAGGCCTCATCGGTCATACTGAGTGTGCCTCCGGTGTCGCATCATTGATCAAAGTACTCCTCATGGTTCAAGAAGGGTTTATCCCGCCACAAGCAAGTTTCACTTCAGTAAATCCCAATCTCGGCCTTACTCCAGAGGACAAAATTGAGCTCTCGGCGCAACTCAAGCCATGGGATGTTGAATTCCGAGCCGCTCTGATCAACAACTACGTAAGTCACACCGTCTCTTCTTGTTTTGTCAACCACTCACACGCATATACTTTTCCTGCTTTATCTCGACGCTAGTGCGTTTCCACAGAGGCAAAGTCCACTCGCTTCCTTCTAAAACATTATAAACCAGGGGATTCTAACTTGGCCTTCTCGTAGGGCGCTTCCGGCTCGAATGCCTCCATGGTCGTCACTCAAGTGCCCAAGCTTATATCTCAGGTTCCCTCCAAGCTACCATCAAACAGAACTTACCCATTCTGGTTTTGTGGAAACGATGAGCATAGCCTTCGAGCATATATCACAAAGCTACTCGGGTTCTTGAGAAGTCAAGGCACGACAGGGAAGGATTTGAGCATAAGCAACTTGTCTTTTCAGGTCTCTCGCCAATCCAATCGTTCACTTGACTGGGCTTTGATATTCAATTGCAACTCTTCCTCTGAATTACAGGATAAGCTTGCGGCTCACCTGAAAGGCGCGAAGACCATCATGGCCATCCGGACACCGTCCACCAGGCCAGTCATTTTCTGCTTCGGCGGTCAGGTTTCGACCTATGTTGGCTTAAATCAAGAGATCTATGACAGTATTCCACTGCTGAGAAAATATTTGGACCAGTGCGATGCCATATTCATCTCTATGGACCAGGGTAGCATTTACCCTGATATCTTCCAAAAGTCACCTGTCCAAGACATCGTGAAGCTTCACAGTATCCTCTTCGCCCTCCAATATTCCACTGCAAAATGTTGGATAGACTGTGGAGTAAGTGAAATTAGCTTTCTTATTTTGGACCACTATTGTCAAACTCTCTCGCGGCAGGCAGAGTAAGTGGCACAATTCACCACAATATTCACTACATTCTGAATATTCAAGTCGTTTTGAATGTTGAACCCTTGGGAGTGTGCCACTTTCTCTGTCCACAAAAAGCCCTCCAAATACATCTACTCTTACTGCACACTCTAGATGGTAGTGCTTTGTGGTGCCTTCCCAAAGAGCCAGATATTCACTCATTTTCTCATGAACAATTCTGTACTTCCAAAATAGGCATTTACTAACTTCCCGGTGTTGTAGATCAAAGTAGCCGCGGCCATTGGCCACAGTTTTGGGGAATTGACTGCTTTGTGTGTCTCGAACGCGCTACCCCTAAAGCATGCGATCGAAATGATTACCGGTAGAGCGCATCTCATTCAACAGAAATGGACTGCCGAAAGAGGCTGCATGATGGCTGTTGAGGCAGATGCTGTCGATTTGAATGCCTTGTTGGCTAAGTCTAAAAATGTCACAATCGCTTGTTACAATGGCCCCAGGAGCTTTACCTTGGCTGGTACAGGGAAAGCCATTGGTTCGCTCGAAGAAATCGCCAAATCCGACCCTGCATTTTTTGGTGTTAAGCTGAAGAAGCTCAACGTTACCAACGCTTTCCATTGTCACCTTGTCGATCCTCTGATGGAAGATCTGGAAAAATTTGGCAGGGAACTAGTGTTTAGGGAACCTGATTTTCCACTTGAAACTGCGACTGAATACGAGTTTACTGATAAACGTGATGAGAAATTTGTGGCTCATCACCTGAGGAATCCTGTCTTCTTTCATCATGCCGTTCAGAGAATAGCCAAAAAATATCCTGATGCCACTTGGCTGGAAGTTGGTTCCAACTCGACTGTAACAACCATGGCAAGTCGCGCTCTTGGATCATCAGGAGGAAGCTCGTCTCATTTTCAACTAATCAACATTACAAGCGACAACTCCCTCAATTCCCTCGCTGAAGCGACTTCGAGGCTATGGAAAGAAGGCCTACGTGTCCTTTTCTGGGCACATCATCCTATCCAGGCATCCTCATACACACCGGTCATACTGCCTCCTTATCAATTTGAGAAATCAAAACACTGGATGGATCTGAAGAAAGCACCAAAACTGGAGCCTCTGGTCATGGAAACTCAGACGAAAGAGCTGCCAAAGGATCTCACGACCTTTGTAGGATACCAAGATGAGGCGAACCGC